ATGTTTTCTTTTACACTGTAAATACTGAGTGGCCGTTTACAGCCACTTCGGATGTTTTCATTCAAATAAATGGTCTTATTAGAGGCTATCAGTCCCATAGAATAGCTTCAGATTGTGCCAGTAGGCTCAGTAGGTTGTTATTATTAAGTGAATTCTAACCCTAACGTATTTATTTCTACCCTGCGGAATTAAATTATATATTTATGTGTAATCTGAAAATAATTTAAGTAGTTCTTCATGTACTACAAATATGACTAAATAAAACTAAAATGTTCTCCTATCCTGTCTCAGAGTTGTAGAATCCTCTCCCTATAAATATTCAATAATCTGTGGAAAAAATGGAGATCATTCTTTAATAAGATCCTCATCAAACGGACATGCAATGTTTGTATTTAGAACCTAATGTGTCTAATGGATGTAGTGAATAATTTGTTCTTTTTTTATGCACCAAACGAAGACAATAATCTGATTAAATCAGGAAATAAAACAGCACGATTGGCTGTAAGGAGAGCGGAGCCAGGGGACACTCCCAGTTTACTAAACAAAACCTTCTGTTGATCATGTTACTACGGTGATTAAAGCAGAGGTTGAGGAAACTCTCTTTGTTAAACGGAGTTTAAGTTTTAATAGAGTAAACCTTTTCCGTGAAACGGAACCCTGGCATGTGAAAGATTCTTCCCATTAATGCACAGCACTGTATTGCTAATAGGTGATATTTTAAAAATAATATTTCTTTTTAGACCCTTTAGGAATCAGGGGCACAACGCTCAGAGCAGGATGATGAGAACCAGAGCTCCCTGTTGGCAGACCAGGAAAAGGTATATTTAAAGTACAGCCAAGCCAAATCAGTTTTTCAGTGGTTTCTCTAAATCAAGTATTATGTCGAAATCAATGAAAATCACTCTGTAAGAATGGCCCATTGATTGATACACAGGTTGAGAATCTGTGATGTTTACAAATACTCTCCATGCAGGCTGACTTGCTGATTTGCAACAAATAGGCAAAAACTGTAGTCTTTAGAATTGCAAAGCAGGTAGATGTAACCTAAACTGTTGCAGCTGTGACTGCAGCATATGGTTGTGATTTACCCCCTTCTTTCTATTTCACAATTTTGCTCCAGCTGTGTTGGTTTACCTAATATAATAATAATAATAATAAAAAAAAATCAAAGTCTGACGGTTCAATGTGACAAATTCTTACAATGTTTAAGGGATGTAAACACTATATTTGCATATCCTTTTCCCGAGACTACTTGAATTCGAGCAATTTGAATACAATAAAATGATGTCTAGTCTAAAGAGCTTGTTACACACACATTCAGATCTCTCTTTTTAACCTCCTTTACTTAGTCAAGCATAAAAGCTAAACCAGAACTATAGTGACCAAGAAGTATTCATACCCAATGAACTTTCAACATTTTGTCACATTATAATCTCAAACATAAATATATTTAATTGAAATGTTATGTGAGAAAACAGCATAAAGTGTTAGAGAAAATGTGAAGTGGAAAGAAATTAATACATAATTCAACACACATTTTACAAATGAAATATTTGTAAAAATGATGGATATTTTACCTAATTGCTAATGACTGAGTAGAGTCTGTATAAAACTCAGTATAAATACAGCCTCAGGGGTTGGTTAAGGGAATAATTGGCAGCAAATAACATTTTAAAGTCAAAGAAACACCAGAGAGGTTATGGAGATGTTTAAATCAGCCTTATGCGGGAAAAAGTCTTTTAACTGGTTCAACCACATTTCACTGAATATTCCACAACTGAAAACCCACCAAGACCAGGCCTTCCACCCAAACCTTAACATCGAACAGGAGAGCACTGATCAGGGATGCCGCAAAGAGAGCCATGACAAAGCTGGATGAGTAGAGATTTAAAGCTCAGGTGGGGGAATCCGTCCACAAAACAGTAATTAGTTATGCGCTGCACAAAAATGGTCTTTATGGAAGAGTGATGGAAGAAAACCATTGTTAGATAAAACCATAAGAAGTCCTGTTTGCATTTTGCCAGAAGCCATATTGGGAACACATCAAACATGGTGAAGAAATGCTCTGGTCAGACAACCAAAATGAAACATTTTGGCCAAAATGCAAATCCAACCCAATCCACTTTATTTATATAGCACGTTTCAATAAACACAAGGTTTCCAAAGTGCTGCACAAAAAGATAAAATAAATAAAAGTAAATAAAATAAAAGCACTGCCCACAAAGGATAAAAATATGCATGTATATACATAAAATCAACGCTCTACATGGTGTCAAAAGCCAAAGAAAAGAGGTGGGTTTTAAGAAGAGTTTTAAAATGAGACAAAGAGGGGGCCTGTCTAATGTGCAATGGCAATCCATTCCAAAGTTTGTGAGCTGCAACAGAAAAGACGTGCAGCAGCATTTTGTACCAGTTGAAGATGAGCAATTGAGGACCTACTAATCCCCATATAAAGTGCATTACAGTAATCCAGCCGAGTGGTCACAAAGGCATGGATTGCTGTCTCAAAGTGCTGTCTCTAAAGGACTGGTTTGATCTTTGCCAGCTGCCTTAACTGGAAAAAGCTAGATTTCACCACAGCTTTTATCTGGATGTCAAGTTTAAGGTCTGAGTCTACTTTTACCCCAAGATTTTTTACAATTAGTTTGCAATATTGCGCTAACTAACCCAGATCAATTGGGTTATTTAGATCAACTTGGGGTGGGGGTGGGGGGTCACAGAGAGTCATCAAGGCTGATAGAGAAAGTCCGATGTGACAGGTAGGACATGAACCATTCCAGTGCTGTGCCACTGATGCCCACCCACAGCTCCAAAGGAGCAATCAGGATTTCATAGTCCACTGTATCAAATGCTGCAGTCAGATCTAAGAGTACAAGGACAACACAGTGTCCAGAGTCAGTAGCTAAAAAGATGTCATTAGGAAAGTACTATAGTGGTGGATAACTAACGATGGATTTCACTCTAAACATATCATCCCCACAGTCATATATATAAGGGTGGCAGCATCATGCTCTGGGGATACTTCTTCTTTTCAGGGACAGGGGAAATGGTCAGAGTATATGTGAAGTTAGATGGAGCTAAGTACAGGGCAATATTTAAAGAAATAGGAGCCTGCAAAAGACTTGATGCTTGGACGAAGGTTCACCTTCCAACAAGACAACAACCCTAAACAGAAAGTCTGGCTGCAACGGATGGTTCAAAACAAAACATAGTCATTTGATAGAATGTCTCAACAATCCAAAGTAATTCTCTTATCAATTCTGTGAACAATGAACTTCATAAGTGCACAGTGACATTTGTCTACCTTCGAGGGGGACATTCAATTTCTGCCTGCCTCGGCGAAAACAGAAGGCAGTGAACGGGAGCTGCCAGCCTGAGCCAGCCAGGCTACCCGTCTCGTCACAGTCATCTAAATCTAATGGAGAAGGCATCCGTTTAATGAAAAAGCATTACTGTAAAAGTTCGGGACATAAACTCATTAAATTCACAATAAACTCATCTCCCCGTGATTTAAATAAATGAGGGTCACCTTTCTTTCGCTCCCTGAACTGCGGAGCAACTTCATAGCATGTTTAATAACCCCAAAGAGAGGTAGGAAATTGTTTTGTTTCCAGGAATGTCATATGATTTACTAGGAACCACATTAAGCACAGCCAGTGATATAAAACTAGCTACTTCCCACCAGAGTTGGCTTCCATGCTGGTCATAAATTTAGCTTCTGTCCGGAAGCATCAAAAACACGGCATTCGTTAAAATGTATG